TCTGGGGGAGCGCCCAACTCACAGCTGCCCGCAGCTGCCCGGAAAAGCGGCGCAGGTGCGGCACAGGGAGAGGGAGAGGGGCAGGCCGTTGGTCAATTGAAACGGTTCAAAGACTGTTTGCCCTCTGAGCAATTTGCCCCTGCCACGTATCGTTTGCCAACTCCTTCTTTTTTTATTGACGCGGCCATATAAATTTCACTCTGGCAAATGGTTTTTATTGGCACCAGCGACTGGCACCACACCACAGGCATATTCCCAGGCCTAGGCAGCGGGCACGGGCTCAGCCACAGTATCTGCCACACAGCGCCAAGTTCAATTGCCACCAATTGCTGCACGACCGCCGGCCCTGCTCAAAAAGGTTAAATTTGGAAATTGGTACGTGATTGGATTCAAAGCGCAAAATAAGTGCGTCAGTTGGTTGCTTGGAGGTCGCCCATTTCACTTATGAAATGAAAAAAACAAACAAAAACAAAAAGAAATCAAAAACAAAATGAAAATAACAAGCAAGAAAATCAATCTATCTAAAGGCATTCAGCGAATACTCTGTTTTTCTCTACATTACTTTCTGTATGGTATATATAATAGTACATATTTTTACTTTGTTTTTATTCAGGGTTCCTTTAATGATATTTATTTTTGTAAGCGAACACAAATTATCCTGAGTTGAATAAATTAATTTGAAAGCATATTAAAATCACTTGCTAAGTTAAACGGAAAATATATTTTATATGAATTAAAAGTAAACAGGAACAAGAAATTTACCAACACTTTATTAAGTTATATTACTAAGTATAAAAGAGCTTTTAAGCACATTAAAGTCATCATTTAAAGCTCTCATTTTCTAGAAAGAAAAGGCGTTAAGATAAAGTGGAAAGCTCAATGCAATAGTAACAATAATATTTATGAAATCACAAAAAAGGTTCTTTTGAAATGGAATCTGGAGTTTAATGATTTTTGCATAGTTTATTATTATTCCCTCTTCGCTAGAGCTAAGAATAAATTAAGATTTAGGAACAATATTTATTTATTTATATAAAATATTTATTTAATTTTAGGGGTACGTAGCCTCGTGGCCAATTTCTTGAATGTCTATGAAAAGGGTATTACCTACTTGTATATCAAGCATAGCGATAGGAAAACTGATGCGGGGCAGTGGGTGTGTTTGGTTCATAGCTCTGTGTGAGAAGAGAATTGTAGCATATTTTTTTTGGCACGCCGGTTGCTCGATTTGTAATAAGAAATGTGTTTTTTATTTTGTGGTTTGAAAAATTAGAACTTTTGCCAACAGCAAACAGCAAAACGATGGCGAGCTCATGGCAACTACCCAAAAATCACACACACACACACACACACACACACATAAACATAGTAAAAAATACACAGAGACACACATTTATATGTATATATGAGTGTGGATATGTTTGTGCTTGGGCCAGCATAGTTTGTGGTTGATGGCCTAGCCATAAAACGTCCATTTGTTTTGGCCAACAGAAATAAAAAAGAGAAGCGCAAAACCAAATCCAAAGTCAGCTAATAACTGGGCAATGGCCCTGACAGCGGCATGTTGTCAACATATTTGCCAATCATCTGAAGCTACCAGCGGCTGTCAACATAACGTATGAGTAATATGTCAGCGTACATTCTGAATGATGCAAATTTCGTATAGCTAAGCAGATTTGCGCAGCGCCAAATTTATGTGGCACTATCGGCTATTACCCGGCTTTGCGCATTTAGATTTTCTTATTTCAGCTTCAGTCGCCATTTCCACTCAGCGGAGTGGATTTTCTGTAATCGGTAAATCACGTTTAAAATGTTTTTACATGAATGATGTTGTCCAGGCTGAGAGGACGGGAGAAAAGTGTGATTTCCGAAGATGTGAAAGATGTCTCTAATGAGACATCTCTGCACAACAGTTTCCGCGTTTTTTCTGACCTTCGATTGGACTTTATAAAATCGGCAAAGAAAGGCTTATACAATTTTTGAAAATCGTATCTAAGTGTGCATTTACATCACAAAAGGTAACTTTCATATCTCCAATTGATCGAATTACTGGAACTGTTGGAACTGTCTTAAACAGCTTTCAAATCAACTCAGACTAACGCTCTAGTGGATCTCTGAGAAGTTATGGAGAACGCGGCCCTTTAAGTGCAGCCGGAAAGTTATGTGCGCCGCGCTGGGTGTCCTCAAAAGCTCTAATAAGGATAATGAAAGTAGAGTAGAAAGTGCCTTTACCGAATCTTGAGAGGGATAAGGGGTCAAGAGTGCGGCGTGTAAAATGCTGTTTGACATGAACACAGTCGCCCTAAACAGCTTATTGGCCCCTGCATAAATTTACAGACATCCGGCTCTTTTAAGACCGAATTAAGGCGATTACTAGTTGTTAAGCTTGTTCTACGTGATTATCCGAAGCTTACTTTGAAGCAGAATAAATTAAATATGCAGGAAATTCAGAACTCTTTCGCAGGGCAAAAAGCTTGGCTCCCCTGATCCCCGCTTTTGACCTTATGGTGAGTTTGCACACACAGCGTGGGTTGCAATCCCCAACAAATTGCCAGTGCAAAACTCCCTTATCTAATAATAATAACAAAAATATATAACTATTTGTTATGCCAAATTGTTTGACACATTGTTGACCAAAATTCGACCGCAGTTTTGATAAGATTTATTCTGATAAAATTCATTAGCAATTATGAGTTGCCGCCAATTGCTGCCGACGCTTTGACAACATTTTTGTTATTTTTAATTAAAAAGTCATCACAATATTTTTGCTGTCATTATTTCAATATATATATGAATGTGGACAACTCTGAATACGCCCTATCTACACATACATCATGCATGTAACATATTATTTTTTGTATGTGCCAGCGGGCATTTGACAATTTGCAGATTTTGTTGTTGCTTTTCTTAACCGCAGCTTTCATAATTTGTATACCCCGTACATTTTTTTGGAAGGCTATTATTGGGTTATGCAACTAATATTGCCTTTCTATCATCCATCATCATCCATTGGGTAACATTTTCTCTGTCTGTTATTATACTTCCGTCGTATAAGATGACATTAAGACTGGCACTGGTAGCTTAAAGGATAGGAATGGAAAATATGTATAGGTATACCGAATGGGAGATACTCTTTTAACACCGAACATTCATTATCTGCAATTCTTGATATTGATATCGACCTGCTAAATTCATTTGAGTCTACAGAGACCCAACGCTTGATTGCAGGATATTTCTTAGTCAAGCACTTACAATTTAGACCCTTCTTTGTTGTTTTTTTAATTTTTTTGTAGCTGATATCATAATTAATTGGCGTTTATTATGCGGCTCGGAAAATGTCTGGTTCCTGCATAAATTATGATACCCATTTAAAAACTAACAACAAATTGTATAGGCATTTGTTTTTACGAAATGTTGTCCTTTTTAGGCTGTTTTTAATCATATAATTGGCCCTAATTAGATGCGCAAATTAAATGAAAGTGAGCAAATTGAACGAATATGATGAAATAAAATAAAAAAGGGAAAAATAAACGAGTGCGTGTTGCATGTCAATTGACGTTTGCTCATAACTTGTTAAACGCACTGAAGTGCAATTAGTATCGAGCGTATTTGAAGGCTGCGGTGGGTAGAGAGTAGACGGAAAAATCTAGAGAAGGGTCCTTAAGGCTTAAGGACACAGTGCTGGTATGTTGAAAATATATATTTGCTTTAAATCTAGTTGAAACTTGTATTTTATTTTTTATTTCAAACCGTTATGTATTCAGGCTTGGTACCTAGAGTGACGCCTTGAACTGTTAGATAAATTGACCCGTAACGAAGCTTATGCCAAATGGCTTTGAAAAATCTTTTCGAGCAGTCATCTTGCAGTTTTGAAAATAATAGCTAGGTTACCCAGTGGCCACAGCCATCAGGTTAGCTGTCCAGATAACCAGATTATTGCGACTGACTGGTGTTGGACTAGATTTAAAGCTTTTTGCTTTGCTTTTTGTGGTACGAGATGTCTGTCGTGCTTCGACTTAGATTTGTATGTATTTTCAACAAGTTACTTACCTTTAAAGTATTAACTTTTTGCCTTGAACAAATTTCGTTACAAATAAATATATAAGATATAATTTCGGCAAAATTCGCGCTTAAATAAATTTGAAGTAATGGAATAGGTAGTAGTGGAGCGAGAGAGGGAGGGAGGAGAATGTTTGTCGTAGCTGGCACTTGAAGTGTGCCTTCTTTCAAAGTTCCTTGAGGCGCTTCTTTAAAACATCATTAAATCAGCGCAAGAGTTCACAAATGCATTTCATTTCAAAATCATGACCTGGCTAGCAGTAACTGATAGCTGGTAACTGTTAACCGGTAACTGCAACACCACCACCAACAACAACAATAACAACAACAACAACAAGAAGCTCAACAAGAACAGCTTGCCACTCGGAGCATTACAAATTACAAGTTGCTGTCTGACAGAGAAACGTAGCTCCCAAAGCCCTGTGCAGTACAAAAAGCAGCCCGCAAAACTTTGACGAGTGCAAGAGAAGCGCATAAAAAAATCAGCTAGTAAATGGGTGGGTGGAGGCTACAAAGGCGGCAGAGAGGAGGGGCTATGGGCGTGTGCGGGCAACAATTGCAATCTGTGGCGCTTCAACAACGCTTAATGTTGCCTACAACCGCAGTGCCAGCCATTTATCATTCACCCGAGCCGAAACGGGTGCGCTAAGGCGCAGGCGGATGCAGGGGCCAGCTGACGAGCTGACAGACTGACGGACTGAGGGATTGACGGGCGACAGACTGACAGAAGCCCAACAATAAAATGGCAGTAAAAAAACCAAATTGACCTTACGGAACTGTATCAGAGGCACCAGAGCTAGGAATACGATTAAGCCTGATCTATGCTCTGAGCAGGTAAATCAAATTGCTTAGTGGCTGGAATAGTTTTTTTTTTTATATTTTTTTTTGATAAATTTCCCTTTTATAAATTGCATACTTGTGAGCGCATTTGCTTGACTTACCTAAAGCGAGAATGCAATTTGTCCGCTGTCTTCAATTGTTGTCCTAAAACGAGACGAGAATTAAGTAGAACAAATACAATTAGCTGTTTATTATGTTTGGTGTAATATGCAAATAAGAATAATATATGCAAATAAGTATAAATAACACTTGTATACAATATCTTATGACTGTGTACAGGCAGAACACACTTTGGACTAACCTTCTAGTGTTGTTGTAAAGGTGGTATCGTTAGCTAAGACGTTAGGGATCGATAATAACGATACCAAGAGTATCGATAGCAACGATAATGATATCATAAGTAACTATTAATAAAGCGTTGATTATAACTATCGACCGCTTTTTATCGATTTATAGCTAATGATTTTATCACGATAACGATAACAGTTTACAATATATTTATTACTGGAAATTCTAAAAGTATATTTGCTCAACACATAATTTAAATAAACACTATAAGCAAGCTGTAAAATTTAAATTTTAATTATCTAACATTATCGATAACATTGCTTGATTATCGAAAAGAGCGAGTGCCGTAAAAAGTAATAATTGTGGGGAAGGTCTGTCGGCAATCGCTAGTTCGAAATTCTATTATGAGCCTGCAGCGTTAAGCGGCTTTGATAACTCAGACTTTAGCAACATTGAACAGAAAGAATATGTAAGGCCAGGGTCCTATGAAGCAGAGCAGAGTTGTGCACTGAAATGCTGATTGCAATGAAAGAATGCTGATATTCCTTCTTATTTCGTACTCTGTTGAAGCTAAATAGAAAGAACACAAAGCAGACTCTGCATAAAAAGAGAAAATCTCTTACACTGAATGGCAAGTAAAGCTTGTTTCTTGGCCTTGCCAAGGGTCAAAAGAATACAAAAATAATCAAGTTTTTAGCTCTGAAGCAAGCTTGAATTAGTGTTGCGATTATTCAAGATTAAAGCGTAGCTAAAACTCCTATTGGGTCAAAATGATTCATTAAGACTATTATTTGTAGTGTTTTTTAATCATCTGAAGAAAATGGACAGATACTTAAATTTGCAAAAGGCACCATAATTAAAAAAGAAAACCAGGTACTTAATAGTTTTAATAAAATCGCATAAACATAAACTTTGTAAATTATTTAAAAATATTTAAATACATGCAATGCATTCACATTGCATTTAAGCATTCAATTCTTTATAGAATCAGCATCAGATTTGTCACGTTTTAAATTGTGCCCGTTAATACTTAAACAAAAGCAGAAATATGAAATAAATGAAGGGACTGTCAAATAGCAAACAGCTTTTGTGGCAATTTAATTTGTTTGGAGCCTTCGGTATTGAGGGCCACTGCCCCTAAGGACAGTGCGTGTGTGTGTGCTTCGGATGTGCAGCATGCAATTTACTGATTAATTTAAGCGGTCTAGTAATGCATAAATTAATGTTTAATAACAGTTGCGGGCTGCCAACTCGCCTGCAGGCCGCATCGACAATGGCCTGCCAGCTGGCAGGCATCCTGTATAATGAATGTGGCATCAACCCACACACACACACACACACACACACAAATACACACACACACACACACACATATGTGCGTATTGGCTCCCATTTAGTTAGATGACCGTATCAATATGCTTGTGGATTTGAAATTATTTGATGAACCGCTGCACTAAAAGATATCTATGTATGGCCATCAATTACAATTTTAGAACTGTGCGCGTATTGGCCTTTTTATACCCTGCATCCAATAGAGGGCTAACAAAGTGTATAATCCTTAAAACATGCCACGTGCGAGGTTGCATGGAATATTTATTCTTCTTTTTCTGAGTGCCCTGTTATAGTATAATTAAAGATAGACCCTTGAATCTTAGGCGCCTTATGTATCACATGTCTACTCCTTATTTTCAAAATTTTCTAATAGAAACAAAATTTAAGCGGCGAAGTGTTTTAGATAGTAATAAGTACAAGAGTTACAATAGTGGGATGTATCTGGCCAAGTATATTTTATGTAGTACGTTTTTAAATGATTTTGGATCTTCCATAAAATATACATGCTGGGTTTCCCAGTTTTTCCATTTGCGATCGAGCCTCAGACTCATTTAAAAATTGCTACATATAAAATCTGGAAAATCGACCTCAATCAGTCGGAAAGTGAAAACTAAAATAAAGTAAAGCACGTCAAGTATATAAATCTGTTTATGGAAGCATGAGATACTGCAGAACTGATTAGAGAGCATGTGCTAGTCGACAACCCTCGATTGGAGCACTTTGCACTTGTGCTCTCATCCGCCTGGGTGTTAAATCATTTAGCTAGGGACTAGCTGTAAAGCCATCTGAAACAGCAGCATTACGATCCATGGCAGTTGTTTGGCTGCTCAACTGTTGCTGTTACTGGCTAATTTGCTGCCAATGCATTTGCATTTGTTTTATTTACGAGCTTGTTTGAAATTACAAATGTTTGCCCAAAGTTTGCACCAGACTATCAGACTTTGCACTTGTGAGGCATTGCTTTATGAATAACATAGCATCCACGCACACACATACACCCACCCGCATACAGATGATATGTGCTAATTGTGTTGGAATTGTAAATAGTTTGATGTTTGAAAACGATATTTGGCCCATGACCAATTTACGAATTGTGAGCAAATGTGAGAGTAGGCAAAGTGAGTGCACAAATTAAATTGGCTTCGATATGAATAGGGCACAATAATCACACAAATGACAAATGGCTGTTGCACTTTAGATTCCACCCTGATTTTCAGTACATGCTAGTTGAGGATTTGGTTTTATTGACATTCGGTCAGTTAAGTGGAGACATTTTTTTTAACTAAATGGAGTTCTCTGCAGCCTTTTTTATTGCAACTGGTAATGTGACAAATTATCGGGGCTATCGATAGTTATGGTAGCATAAATATTAGTAAAGATTTTTTGAATTAATTTAAATACTATTGGATTTCATATTAGCTGTCTTTTTTTTTTTGTTATTCAAAAAGTAGGTCTTAAAATGTGAAGAAAGTAAGTTGTCTACTTGCTATCGGAAATTAAACATATGTTAACAAACACTAAACGGGACAAATATGTGATAGGTTTTAGCCAGTCAAGTGTGTTTATATAGAAAAGCAATTTTGGGAGCTATTTGAAAGAAGCGCGTAGATGATAACAAACGGTTATTGCTAAGTTGGGCTTAGACATGTTTACTATCGATATATATCGATCGATATTTATCGCTCTATTAACGCTATGCAGACGCTTAGCCTTAATGATGATGAGCATAAGACAATGTTTCACAGCGATTTAACATATGAAATAAACGGTCTAAGCTTGCATTTAATTTCAAATTATGAAAGCTTCGATCCCAAAGCGGTAATGGACGAATAATAAAGAGTGCTCTAGTCGGGAGTGCTCGATTCAGAGTTACTCTGAAACCATTACCCAGCTTCTTTTTCAAACATTTTAGATTCGTTCTAAGAAATTTAACTCTGAGCCAAATTAAACTTGAAGTGTTCAATTTCCAAAGCTGATTGCTGGGGCAGTTTCAAATTAAAATCAAATATTTGTGGTATGAAAAAAATTTTTATATACTGAGAGTGCAGTTGAAAAATACAAAAAAAATATGAAACAAGTAAGAGGTTCAGTCGGGAGCTCCCGACTAGGGGATACCCTGAACCCTCTTCTTCCAACACCAAATGCAGATCGCGCTACGCGTTCGTTTGATTTAGTAGTAATAAAGAAAAATGAAAATAAAAAAAAAATTGTTCCCTTGGCGGGGTTCGAACTCGCAACTAACCGCTGCCTCTACTCAAGGGCCACACCAATAATTGAGCTTTAGTGAGAAAAAAACCAATTAAATAGCAGCACAGAAAACAATACAATCGCAATTGCAATGCTGTTGATGCGTTGATAGATCGCATGAATGTGTGTGTGTGTACATGTATACAGAAATTCTTGGAATTTGCGCAGCAGCTATGCTGCTAACACGTGCGCACATAATTTTTGTGTTTGTTAACCGCTTTTAATGAAATTTTCGACAGTACATCTTATTGTAGAAGAGATTAACGAATATTTGTGTATGCTCAAAAATTCAATTGCATATAAATTGTGGCTTAAATTGATGGGCAATACAAGTTGGATAATTAATTTGATTTATAGCTTTGCGGTGGTAGCGGGGCGGTGGGGATAGGTATAAAATGAAAGATACTTGATATATATATACTATTCTAGAAGCTACATGTCAAGTTTGGTGAATCTAGCTCATATTATTTGCCGAAATTGCTCAAAAAACAGAATTTCAATATCGATTTTTATCGATTACTTGGAAACGGGGCAAGTCATCTAATATCGGAAACAAACTCGATCTGCGCGGGCATTAGGAGGACCTACAGCTAAAATTTCAGTCTCTAGCTCTTATAGGTTCTGATATCCTTGCGTTCATACATACGGACGGACGGACGGACAGACGGATGGACAGACAGACAGACGGACATGGCGAGATCGACTCGGCTATTGATGCTGATCAAGAATATATATACTTTATGGGGTCGGAGATGCTGCCTTCTGCCTGTTACATACATTTGCACAAATACAATATACCCTGTTAACCCATTTTTAATGGGTTCAGGCTTTACAAAAAATTGTCTGCCTGTTACATACATTTGCACAAATTCAATATACCCTGTTAACCCATTTTTAATGGGTTCAGGCTTTACAAAAAATTGTCAATTAAATCTAATAAAATGTCATTGTAATTGAAATTGTGCTATATATTGTAGTTTTTGATTTTATTGTTTCTGATGGTGTGTGGTGTCAGATTGCGAGTTCAGTTTGTCCGCATCGGATTTCAATGGGCGGCAGTTAATGCCACTTAATTAATATCAACACTTTAGCTGTTTTATTTGCTCTGACACTTTTCATCAGCTCAATGGTATCATTTCTGAGGGTAATTCTCTGCCAAGTATTTAAGTTCTTGTTATTGTTGCTTTATTTATTTGCTATGTGGTTGTAATTTATTGGTCATAGTCGCATTTGTTGGCACTTAAATTCTTAACTGGCAAAATAAATAAATAAGACCAAAATTCGATGTCCCATAACGAACATTAAGAATCCTCAATGGAGTTTTAACGAAAGA